GGACGCCAAACGAGATATTTCCAATACTAAAATTATACTATAATCAAATCTAATCCAACCCGGGCGCCAAACGAGGCATTTCCAACCCTAAAAAATATATTACAATCCAGCGCAATCCCGCTCGAATACCAAACGAGGTATTTCTAATATTAAAGTTGCACTAATTAAATATAATCCAACCCGGACGTTAAACGAGATATTTCCAAAATTAAAATCAAACTACGACCAAGTACAATCCAATCGGACGACAAATAAGACATTTCCAGTACTATAATTATACTACAACCAAACACAATCCAACCCAGACGCGAAACGAAATATTTATAATTCTAAAAATTGAACTACAACCAAATACAATCCAGCCCAGAGCCAAAAGAGTCATTTCCAGTACTAAAGTTATACTATAACTAAATATAATCCAACCCGGACGTCAAACGAAATATTTCTAATACTAACATTATACTACTACTAACCAACCATAATATAGCCAAGACGCCAAGCGAGCCAATACTAAAACTTAGTATTAAAAGAATTTAACAAAGAACCCATATCAATTTTCGCTTCCCCGAAATATCTTCCGATTTACTGAGATCTTGTACGACTTCAATAACTCCCTATATTTATCTCGATATTACCATTATAGAATCTCATTCTTTTCTTTTCTATTTTCGGAATCTATATTCTTATATAATCATTCAATCTTACTATATTCCTCCCATTCAACTTCTTCAAACTATCCCTATATATTACTAATTTATCTCACGATATTTCTTAATTATCCTCGATATAACGTTTGACTATATATATCCTCGGACTCTGATTTTTAATTAAAACTCTTGTCGCTACTATCTACCTCCTCCTCTCTAATATCCTCCAAGATATCTTCCTTTCTAAAATCTTCTATTATTTAATTCTTCAATTATCTCTTTCTCTCCTATTTCTCCCTCTCATCATCCTGTCTCGTCTCTCTTCTCTTGCTTTCCGCATCTCCCCATCTCCATATCTCCCTATCTCCCCATTTCTCCATCCGAATATCCATGAATCCGCGTCTCTCTCTCTGTGTCTCTGTCTCTATCTCTGTCTCTGGTCTCTGGTCTCTGGTCTCTGTCTCTGTTTCTGTCTCTCGCTTGCTCTCGACCCCCTCGCCCCCCTCGCCCCTCTCCTCTCTTTTCTCTCTACCACCACCACACCGAATATCTCGTTGAGAAAATAATTTTTCAAATTGTAATACTTGTTATGAATATCTACATTTTCTTAACTATTAAAAACAATTCTTCGATATATACATATACATATATATATATAGATATTCATATTATTGTCTCTGCATAATTCGAAGACGAAATCTCATTTTGTCTTCTGCGTTTAATTTCACAAGAGCTTCAAACAGACTAGCGTCCCATCCTTTTTGTTGTTGAACTTCTCAAGAAAACATGAAAAATATTCCTCCGAATTCAAGATTTTTACTACATATAGAAACATATAGACTTGCAATCCGAAACTACTAGGAAAATGAAAACGACTTGTCAGTTGCTCTACCACTGAAATGTAGCAAAATCACGACTTTTGGATTAAAAGAAACTCGCCTATCTTTTCATGTATTGTTATGAACCAAAGTTCTGTTCGGCCGTTCCTTCACGGTCTTTTCTGTCAGTCAAGCCCAACCAAGAAGCCGCAACTGTACAAATTCCGAAGCTTCCAAGAGAAGGCGCCAGAAAAGGTTGCAGTAGCAGAGGCAGAAGTAGCCGTTGTAGCGGCAGTACTAGGAGTACTACTGCTGCTTCTACCACTACCACCCCAAGTCTCGAACCATACCAAAAGGCCCAAAGGAGCCCACTAGGATCCGAAATCCACGGTCCAGTTCGCCACGATTGCATCCACCCAGGGAATGAACACCTCAGCTGTGGCCAGGGACGGGTAGTATCAGACACTAGATACTTGCAGTACCCATTCGTGCAAGCATGGCCTGCATGTAAAGGAATGAATATGAAGAACGCTACTCAAACCTCACATGTGGGGATGACAACTAGAGCAACTATTTTCTGAAAGTCTCGCACGTGTCAAGGGTTCCTAGCACTTATTGACCGGAATGGTTACTTAAATTGTGATTCATCTGCTCATGTAGAAAGCCGGTCAGTTGAACACATTGAGTTGTCTGCTGAAGTGCCCTTCACGTGGAGGCTTAGCTGGCTTTCCTGGACTGCATGGCTTGAGCAAAACGGTGAACCATCATTGATGGGAGATGCACATGGGAGTTTCCGAAACTTAGGGGACCCTAATATAATACCCTAAATAGTCGGATCCTTATTAAAAGGTTCGCAAAATAAGGCACCCCCAATTTTCGGAAGCTCCCATGTCGATAAACCACTTTAGACTCTAGACTGAGTCAGTAAACCACCTAACGACAACAAGTGCTTTTCCGATCGCCTTGTTTCATTCCCTTAGATTGACTGGAAAGGGCATGATGGGAGTAAGTTGGAAAGTAAGGGTCTTGATGTTGCTGACATGATGCTCAACTGTGCTCAAGCTGCAGTGATATCCGTGTTTAGAGTCTACAGCTACGCCAGTCTGACTGTTTCGCTCTGCGTGATTGCTTTTCCCACAGTGCCCCGCACCACAGTTTCGGATCTTTCTGGGATTTTCACAGAGATCCACAACTCACCCTAAACATCGCAACAGCCGTCCTAAGTATCCATAGATATCCACAAATACCAAGCAATACTCATAAATACCCACAGTCGTCCAACATCCCTCGTGCTGCATTCGAGGAACGGCATCCCCCATCAAAGGCCATGTGCCCACTGGTTCTTTCACGTTCAGGTCCGCCTTGTTGGCTGCCCCCGCGGTGACCTCCTTGACCACTCCTCCTGCTACCTGCCGCGTGGTCGGCCCCTAAACCCTACACCCTCCAACGCTAAAACCCTAAACCCTAAAACCCTATAATGTAAACCCCTAAACCGAAATCCCCAAACCCTAAAACCCTCAACCCCAAACCCTGAAACCCCTAAACCCTGAAACTCCCAAACCCTAAAATCCAAAAACCCTAAAAGAACCTGAAAGGTTATGGTGGATGGTTACCGCAACCGGAGACATGATGCCATGATTTGTGCACCATGCAATACGATGCGTAAAGGACAGTCCTGGACAAAAGGAGACATGTGTACCGTTTTGGGGTTTAGGGTTTCGGGGCTTTTGGGTTTAGGAGTTTAGGGCTTAGAGACAAAAAGAGACATGTACACCTACATAGTGAGAACAGCTGAAGTAGAGGAGAAACATGCATACATTGCTGTCAGCTGGAATAACATTCGAATGCAAACAACATGTGTATGCAATGTGTATATATAAAGATAAATGAACAAAAAGCATATATATATATATATGGAAAGAGAGAAAGAGAGAGAGAGAGAGAGAGAGAGAGAGAGAGAGACAGAGAGAGAGCGAGAGAGAGAGAGAGAGAGAGAGAGCGGAGAGATAGAGAGAGCGGAGAGGGAGACATCAACGGGCACTATCGGAGATGAAAGCTACCCTTAAAGCATTCACTGGCAACACCCTGTCTTCCTTGAAATCTGCATTGGACACCCGGTTGGTGGCAATCCCTTCTTCACTGATGACAATCACTGACTTTCCCCATAAACAACCTGCAAGGTTTGGGGCATGAGCCAGCAGCTACCACAAGTTTCAGTGACTGACATCAACGTCTTCATCCGTGTGGACATCCATGCCACAAGAGCCTCGGTCAGATTCAACAATATGGCAATCGTCGGCCGATCGCCATTGAGTGCTACCAGAAGCCCATGCAATCTCTCGTAGGCATGACAATGAGATAAAACAAATAAGAATAGCATGCTGTGCTACTCAGATATCTCGTCGAACAAAGAAAAACGACTTTCTTGTCCGTCCATATCCCAGCTGTAACTCGCTGTAATAGGCCCGTGTAGGTTTATCAAGATTCTATTGCCGATCCACAAGCTGGGACCTTTGATGGACTTGCCATCATGCACCAGGATGCAAGAAGCCTGCAAATGATGGCCTAAGCCACCTGGGTGGTTGTCAAAATTCGAGTCCCTTTTTTGGGTACCCTAAATATTAGGTGCCGTACTATAATAAGGACCCAAAACGGGACACCAATTTTGACAATCACCCACCTGGAGCTCGCTTAAACCTGTCCATGAAACACGCGCGACAGAGGAACTCACCCTGGAGATGGCTACTCCAGCACCGATTCGTCTGATAGATCTGGGGTTGGCTACTGTACCGTAACTATGGATCTTCCGGTAGTAGGAGGATTTGTGGGTTTAGAGTTCAGAAAGGGTTTAGGGCTTATGTAAGGTTCATATGAGGCTTACATAGGGTTTGTATAGTATTGGTTTGTAGCTAAACCGTGGCTCTTCAAGGTACAAAACTATGGGACCTGCTGAAGCCCTGCAGGTGGCGCAAGCCTCGCAGTAGTGCACCGTGACCATGCCAGACTGCAACCGACATACTGCACAGTACTCCTGGGATCTCAGCTCAGGTGGGTTTCTTGAAGCCCTACGACTCGAAAAACACTATAACTATAACAGTTTATTATAGTTGATGACATAATTACAGGTTCTTGAACATCCAACCGTTTTGAACAAATACCTGCAATCATTGCCAATCATGTGCGATCTGTGAGTGGTAAATGCAACTATCAAGGTTTTTGCACGGCGAACAACCGCAACACCCACATCAATTATGTAACCCGGGAGTCACAAGCGAAGCAAAGTAAGCTGCAATGTGCAATGAGTGGGATACCGCCACTTTCTGGTAGCCTAAGCGCGCTTGAGATTTGCCCATGAACTTGGCTGACTTCTGAACCCCTCCTAAACGTTGCAAACTTTTATCCTCCTTATTATACTTAACATAGACACCCCAACAGTTAAAGACCGAAGAGCCAACCGGAAGAACGGCAATTGAAATTACACGCAATTGCAAACGGGCCAAAATTGGAGGGGACCTTGCAGGAAATCGATCAAAATCACTTCAACTGACCAACGTCTGCACTCACTCTGAGATTGCTAGCTAAGCCAGGGTTATTGAACGCGTTTGACGGAATTGGAAGTTCACCCCCATGGACTTGTCACGAAATTCAAAGTACCTGCTACTCCTCTACTAAACTACAAGCACAACAACAACTACAACAACAACTACAACAACAACTACTACTACTACTGCTACTACTACTACTACTACTACTACTACTACTACTACTACTACTACTACTACTACTACTACTACTACTGGTAACTACTACTACCTCATGATTGGCATCAAGCCGATAAGTACCAACAATGATCCCCTAAACCCTACACCCTCAGCCCGAATGTTACTTGAGCCTTCCGTGCTAAGGATCTGCTGCTGCCGCCGCCCCAGGCTGGGCCACGGCGCGCAGTCCGCAAATGCCGTCCTCTGCCAGGTGGAGATGGGGAGATGCTTCTCTCGTATGTCACACTTGTGTACCGGTATGTATGTATGTATGTATATACATGTGAGTATAGATATGTGTGTATATATATATATATATATATATATATATGTGTATGTGTATGTACCTATGTGTGTGTATATATATATATATATATATATATATATTAGGTGTAAACAAGAGTATATACATTTATACATACAACTACGTTTATGCACACATGTACATATACATATACAAATATACACATACATATATACATATAGATATACATATGTACACAGACATACATACATATATATATATATATATACATACATATGTACAGAGTTTATATATCGATGCATAGACGTACAGGCACATATAGCTATTCATATGTGACATACCAAATGGCAATATACTGCTACTGTGAATAGACTGGCAAACTGCATCATCAGGAGCCATTCCAAAAGTAGCTGAGAACTAACAAAACATATGGCGCACTCTGAAAAACTAGCAGTTCCAACCTGGATTAGCCTGGAAATGGATAAAGACTAACTTCAACTGCCTACTCGCCATTTCACATGTCCGCGCGTTTTTGTTACAAGTTTGTAAGGGAGTACATTCACATACGTTTATATCACATACGTGTCTACATGGAATTTGTGATGCATGTGCGTTAACGTCTACTCCAGACAAAAGTTGAAATCATGCTTTTTATCCGAAAACAAAACCGTACAAGGCACTTCGAGGACTACTTTGGATCCCCACTTCCCAAGCTCACTTCTCTTAGGGTTGATGCGACGAGTAAAAGAAGATGGGAGAATCACGAATCAGGCTAATTGGACCCATTTTCCACTCATTCCATCTAAAACTTGAAATGTTGAGAACATGACCAGTACCATCGCCCACTGGAACCTGCCAACACCATGGTAATTCTGTGCAATATCTATCTGCTCAATGACCATCTACATGTCTTGGTTATTCCGCACCTCGATGTTGGGCTGTTAGATGAGATCTTATTTGTCCAGTATCCTAGGGCAACTACAGGAAAACGTTCGGGATCAACTGGGGATTCTTGTACCTCCTGTGCTACTACTGGGTATGGATAGAAAAGATTAGACCTAAGCTCAGCTCTTGTGCGGTCGTTCAATCACCATTGATACAAGCACGCATCATCCTTCAGCAGAAAGAGCGGCTGCATATACCATCCCTAAAGAAGAGTTTAAATGGGAGGTTGCTTGCTATGGATCTCAAACTGTCGTTGTGGAATCCCAGCAGCAACCAACAGAAGCAAGGTAGCGAGCACCGCTGCCTGCACCCTGAAAAATCAACGGAGAACCCCAACATCAATGGTGTATAGGAACCTCAACATCTTTATGGCTCGATCGTGGGGGCTATATAAATTGAGCATAAGGCATATGAACATGGGAGAGATGAGCATTGATAAATGACGTTCTCAGTTGTGGAACACAAAAAAAAAACGGCAGACTTGCTATTCCCAAGGGTGTGGTCTCGTACTGCGGCTCGGATAGGATTCAACACCCTGGCAAACCATCCTTCCAGAAACTATAGAAACAAATTGAAGGCCATATGGTGTAATATAGGGGCCCAAATAATTACCAAGACTATTGTGGGGGGCTCCTTATTAGGATTTTAGTATAAGCTGCCCCGAAAACATATTCTAATTATTAAGGCCCCTATATTAGGACCCTCCCAGCTACGCCGAAGCGCTGGAAATTTGCTGCGCAGCGCTGCTTCAGCGGCTGCTGAGATGGCCACGGGTTCCTGGAGGACGATGCATGGGGTGGAAAAAAGTTGAATGGTAGATAATTGGGTAGTTCTCAAAATTAGGGTGTCCTTTCAGGGGCCTTGTTATAAGGGTGCCGCACAGTTTTGGGACTCGATTTGGGACCCAGATTGGGGAACTCGCATACCCACATATGATCGTAGCCGCGGGAAAAATTGTGATAACATGGCAATGGACACTATTGAACAAACGGCTATTCGCTGCCATGGTTCATGTTACGCAATGCAGACCCCGTGGGTATCTGAATCGATGTTGATCGGTGCTGTCCGACTGTCCGATGGAGTCCATCATCAAGTACAGTGAAGAAACCACTGCCAATCAGTTGACAAACATGCGAATCAGAATCGTCGATGAGAGAAGCCAGCGAAAAGGGTCGATCGTGGGCAACTAGGATGCCCAGTAGCCTATGTAGGAACAAAAAGGGCTCCCTTTTTGGTATTGGGTAACTTCATAAGGAACCTAGGACTACAAAAAGGGTATAAGGGTACTACTGGGCATCCTAGGCGACAAGGATCATCGGCCTGGATGACTGATTGGAATTACCCTCCAGGATATGGGAGTTTCCGAAAATCAGAGGTGCCTTCTTTTGGGGTCCTTATAATAAGGATCCTACTATTTAGCGTACTATATTAGGTCCCC